TTGCTCTATTGTACGATTTCTGTTTGTAATTATTTTGTATTGATAAATTTTTAGATGATGACAAGTGACTTCACTCCCATGAGACAAAAAACTCAGATGCACACCAGATCTAAAAGGCTTCGACTTGGATGTTATTTTTGTAGATGCCAACATTTAAATGAACTGTACAGTAATATACTATTCAATGCTCCAAATGTTCTTATTGGATTGAAAATATATTAACTAAATCAAATTGAAGTGGAAAAATTTTTTTTTGTGAAATTCTGAAGAATATTTCTTTCATAAAACACCAATTAAAAATTACATAGTGTAAGTGTATGGCAGAACAAGACTCGACTTGGGGACAATTCAACTTAAGGACACTCTTGATGCAACAATCAAGTCCGCATCTGTGGGTCTCACTATTTTGATTTTGCTTGAGAACAATGCTTCATTCTTACAAACCCAAGTTGCGATTGTGAAATTCGTGGGATGATGGTGTATGAATTTTCCATTGGAAATACTGTACTGTGCATTCAGTAGTACTGTACCATGGTTAATGGACTTTTTTTCGGTACGCTTTGCAAATTCATTATCCTTGAATTGAATAAAAAGTGTAATCCGCAGTTGCTGTAACCGTATAATTGATTCCTGGGTCCGTGAAAAGTTTACAAACCGGGTAATGTGTTGGAATGCGTCTAATCCTGCCCAGATACCTTGAATAAAATAATAGATGAATACTATTTGAAGGTAAAATCGCGCAACTACGATTTTCTTTAAGGACAAGTCTCGTTTTTCCATGCGATTCATTATTTCAATGCATCCGCGTCCATCGCCTGAAGCAAAGATCAATGGCTGTCTTTGTTCTTAGATGAAAAATAATCCGAAAATAATATTTTTTTTCTTGTAAAAATTCAAAGATTGTCTCAAATGGCTTTGGCATACAGTATTTCCTTCAGGTATTCCTTTTCTGGATGATTTGCTCACTCAGGGACTTGCTGAACTTGGGTTAATTTGATCACTTTGTCACATTAATAAGAAAACCTCAAGTTGCATTTTTTTGTTTTTGATTTCCTGGGTCTCCAGAATATTAAGCCTGAAGCCCTCTTCAAAGTTGAGTTATTGGGGTTTGAGGGGGAAATTTCGGAGTTGGGCAGATTATGTATTACAGGTGAACTCTCTCTCTACAACAAAATTAGAGACCAGAAAAAAAATCGTTTTTCAGTACTGTAAAGAGAAAATCGTAGTGGAGAACATTGTTGTAGAAAGAGTCAACCCGTGTATATTTTTTGAGTAATTCAAATTTTTGAGGTTAAAAAAAAAATTAACAATGGAGATTTTCAGCTTGAAGAAGTTAGAGTTATCTAGACCCAACTGTAGTTATTTCAAAAAAGAAAGAAAATATCGAAGTCGTTTGAATTTCTGTTCATTCAAACTCCGTTACAATACCCTCCAATAATCCGCCATCTTCAGCAGCTGTCAATTTATTTTGCAAAAATAAAAAACAAATCTTCCCTTATGAAGAAATCATTGGGAACCCCGTTAAAACGTCCTCCGTCATCAATTATTGAGAACTCAAATATGCTCCTACGAATGAATTTTGTCCTTCAATAGCCCGCAACCAATATTCAAATTTCTGCGAAAGGTCTCTGATTCGAAAATATAAAAAAAAAAACCACGAACACAAAGAGGACATGAGGAGCATTCGCGAGATGTAATGTACTCGTCCCAGGGTTATTTTGATTGTTTTCCAAAAGAATAAACATTGTATTTCCTTAAGTACCTGATTTCCATATTATTTTACATTATTTTAATAAACTGCCAAGTCCGTTGAACCTCCACAAACAAATGGTGCTGGGCGGTTTATCAAGGTTCGACTGTGCAGTAAAAGTGGGAAAAATGTATGCTCATAAATTTCTTTAATGTGGAATTTGAGATAACACTGTTGGAAATTGAAATAGGAATGACATAGTTTGATGAGATTAGACTGGCGCTGCTAAAACAGGCAGAACTTCGGGAGAGTCTTGGATCCGGTGGGACCGAGTTTAACCTCAAGTTCCCACGGGATTTCAAATTCTTGGGGAAATCCTTCCAAAAGGATAAGTCTGTTCAGGGACAAAAATTGAAGAATGAAATGGGTTTAAATACCGGATAGACTCTGCATGATATCATCAGTTGCTCTTGGTTTGTCTTGCGGAAAAGACTGCTTGCAAATCTACTGTTTCAAAAAAATCTTGAAATCTTGAAAATATATCAACCTTACACTAGGGTGTTAAGCACTCCGGCCGCAGCCCGGCTGATTGTCGTTGTAAATTCATTTCAAACCTCAGAAAAAGTTCAAAGTCGAAATCCTCAAACCTTCTTTAATTCAATTTCTAACAAACACCACATTCATTGATTCATTCATTCACAGTTGCAATGCTGCGGAGCCAACGGGTTCCAGGACTGGCGCGAGAGTGCCTTCAACGGCAAGGACGGGGTCCCGAACCTGGGTGCCACGTTGGACAGTCTTCTGACGTACCAGGTACCGGAGTCGTGTTGCATCGAGAACCTGGACAAGAAATCCTGCGAGTCTGCGACCAAGATCGACGTCGGCACGTCAGTCCTCGACAGTATCACCGGTGGAGTCATCCCGAGGAATATCTACACCAAGGTACGATAGTCTCCGTGGGAACTGTGAAGATTTTCCTCAGGGAAGAAGAAGAAGGACGACGAGAACGATTCATGTTGAGCTGGAAAGAGGTTGAAATGTTTGAAGGGGACGGACTGCCGGGAAATTTTCTGAATAAAACCATTCATTTATTCATTTTTCATTGTGAACGTATGCGAGATTTTGTTGTTGTTGCTCTTGAAAAATTGCATTCCAATAATCGTCGAAGGCGATCCATCATCAAGAAACTGCTTCGAAACCATCATTTTGAATTCCCGCGTCAATTTTAGCAATCGTTAATGTGCAAGGTGACTCTCACTACAAAGATCCTGTCTACAACGATTTTCTGTGCGTAAGGAATTTTCTTCTGGTTCCTTAGAGTTTCTCTCCGAATGTTATACGGGTTCTCGAGAACGAAATTCAATGAGGGACAGTGAAGAAATTCGTTGTAGAGAGAATTCAAGGGACCAGAAAAAATTTGTTGTAGAGAGAATTCAAGGGACCAGAAAAAAATTGTTGTTGAGATAATTCAAGGGACCAGAACAAATTCGTTGTAGAGAGAATTCAAGGGACCAGAAAAAATTCGTTGTAGAGAGAATTCAAGGGACCAGAACAAATTCGTGGTTGAGAGAATTTCGTTGTAGAGAACCCCTATTATATGGGAAGAGAATCCTATGGAACTAGAAAAAAAAGTCATAACGAGAAAATTTTTGTATGCAAGATTGTTGTAGAGAGTGAGAGTCCACTTGTATATTCACGCTTGCTAAAAATTATGCGGAAATTCAAAATTATTCTCCCCAAAAAAAATTCAAGAGACTCGAAAGATTTGCCGTGGAGAGAATTTTTTTGTCGAAAGAGTCCAACTGTATTCATTTCTCACTCCCAAAACCGCATTGGAGAAGATTAGCGATAATATTTCGCCCGCTACTTGGAATACTGTATTCATGAAGAGACTTCGAGTTACAAAAATCTTAAATTCCGCAGTCTAAATAAAAATCGCATACTTTCCCACGTCATTTCTGGTGAGCAAATAGTCATGTAGAAAGAATGGATATTCACTGTTCTGTCAATGGGATGCCTAAAAATGCATTTTTGAATTTTCTCAAGTTTCGATTTCTTTGGAGGAGTAGTTTCTGTGAAGTTTTCCCTACGTTTTTTCCCAATTCCACGCCATCATTTTTGCATCACCTTGAAAAACGTGGGTCGTGCTTATGAGATTTTCGATCATGATTTCCTTCGGATATCCCCCAAGGACTGCGTCAAATTATTTTATGTTTTGACACGACAAAATAGCGTGAAGCGAGATGCTTTACCAGCAAAATATCCATTTATATATTTTTATATCGCTTTTGTCCTCGGGATTCCCTCGATTTTTCTATGGTGCTCTATCGAAAAAAAAGACAATCTCGTGTTCTTGAGACAATGCAAGGTTGCTGTTTTGTTTGTCACGAAAGGAGGTCGAGCAAAAGATGACTTCTGCTTTCATGTCGAGACAGGATTATTGATTTGATTCTCTCGTGCGAGAGAGGAAAACGAGATGGATTTTTATCTGCCCTTGTGCGTCCTCCTCCTCCTCCGACTTCTGCGCACGTTTTCGATCCTCTCGTTTATTATCGTATTCCAAGTGTTTGTTGATCTATTGTAAAGTTTTTTCCGATAAAATGAGTCTCATGTGAGGCGGTCGAATTGGTTTTTGTACCACGAAGAATTGATGTTTAGAGGGTTATCGGTAGTGCAAGAAAAATGAGTACAGCACGAGAAATAAAAGTGCACGGGACGAAATAAATGACAAGAGCAAATGCAATGAAAAAGCAAATTTTCAACGCAGATCGGAGTTTCCAAAACTGATGAGATCTCGTCGAGAAGGAAATCTGCGGATCTTTTAAGTCATGACCATTACTAATGTACTTCCTGCCTCTGGATATTTTATCCTTCTTTTTTTTTTCTCAATTTGCTGGCAAAATTTTGTCTGGTTTTTTCTTTTTTAATTGTATTCCGATTTGTTGAAAATACGAGGGATGTGACACGTCTGTCTAGCCTTGAGTATTTCTAGAGTATGGTATCACTATAAAAAAAACAGTATATGTGATGTAGCCCATTCAATTCCAAAGTTCTGGGATATTTTCAGATTTTTATGAAAAATTTCGATTTATTGCATGATGATGAGTGAAAATTTCCCAGTGCTGGTGAGAGTTCTCCATTCATGTCATAAGCTGTTGAAACTCTTTCCAGCCGAACAAAAAATTGAAAATTGTGTGTTGCTTTTAGCGTAAAATTTTTTACATCTTTCATATTTTTTAATTATAATCTTTTATGCAAAAAAGAGAAGCCTATATGCGTTTTGTATTTTTCCGAGAGCAAGGGTTCATTTCCATGTTTTTGGAAATGAATGATTGCAAGAGTTGACGGGGACTTGAGCAGAAGTCTTTTTAGTCTGTTTTCTGACGTTGAGGCAGAAGATAAAAGAAAAGAAAACAAGTTTGTTAAATTTCGAGGTACAGTAGTAAGAAAAATATCGCTGGCAGGAAAAGCATTCAATTTTTGTTCCGATATTGAGTCTCTATTTCGCGTCACTTCGCAGTTGTGCTTATATTCTTTTGGTGCTCAATTTTGCGCATGTTTTTCCCTATACTTTTTTGTTCGTTGGCTTCTTGGAGACATTTTTTTTAAAAGAGGGAGACAGAAATTGTTTGATGTTGAACCGCTGAAAAGAAGTTTCCTGAGAATGTTTCTTTCTTTGTTTTTATTTCCAGGGCTGCACGGAGAAGCTGATCCACGTATTCGAAATACATCGGGAATATTTTCTGGCAGTCGTCCTGTTTGTTGCAGTAATCGAACTCATCGGAATGATTGTGTCTATGGTATTGTGTTGCGCCATCCGACGACTCGACGATGCCAAGGTGTAAGAATAAAAAAGGAAACCACGTCAAGGACTCGAAAAGAAATGGGAAATTTAATTTGACATTTTTTTTTATTGATTTACGACGCAAGTGCTTCGCTTTTAATTTTTTTTTCACGCGACACCGAAAAGTATGCAGAAAAATCGTATGTCGAAGAAAACGGTAAATTTCTTTTTGATCGCTTACGAATTTGCTTCGGCGTAATTTCAATTCGCATTTCTGTTAGATTTGAAGCATTTTCAAAGAGTATATATGTCAGTAAGCCTCAACAGACTTTCGAGAGGTACGAGAAATATGTTGATAAATCTCTTCCAGAATACAATCAGATCTGTCAACTAATGGTGAAAACGTGTGCAAGATGTCGTTGGTTTGCTATGGGGACTTTTTACGGGACTTCTAAATTTTTACAGACATTTTCCTGCTATTTCGTCGCTGGAGGAAAAAATCTTCACTGGAAATGTAATCGCGAAAAAAAAAGAAAAAACGATTGGCGTGATGTGGAGGAAGAACAATTACCTTTTTTGCCGGCTTTTTTGTTGTCTCGATGATCGGCAACCAGTTCATCTGCTAAGCTTTGCAATCCTTCTGTTGAGTTTGTGTTCAAGAGGAACTTCTGACTCTATCATCTTTGAACGAAAGCGTTCGGAAAACTTTTTTTTTTAAAGGAAAGCTTATCTTGCCAAAATGCCGAAAGAGGGACAAAATTGAATTCAGCTTACATCTATTGTTTTGCTGAAACTCCGTGTTTATGCCATTGAGTTTTTATTTTTCTTGGTTTTTTTTCTGGATGCTTTATAAACGAACGAAAAATACGTTGGCTGGATTTTTTTTTAGTTTGTATATATGCAGGTCGTTCTTTTTTTTTTTTGTGTAACGAGATCGGGAAGAATTTCTTTTGTGTGTCAATTGTATTCAGGATGTGTGGCTAATTTGTTTTTGTGCAATAGTCAAGTTCGATTCCGCTCGTCTGAAAGCACAACCTTCGTTTCTTTTTCTTTGTTCATGGTGTAGACTTTCAAATCGACAATCGTGGAGAAATGTGTGGAGTTCTTAGGATTTATGAGCGGGTGTTTTCTGTGTTATACTTTTAAGTTTTGAACGAAAACCTGGGCTGAGAAAATGGGGTCTCAGAATCTTGCCACTTTATCCTGATTTTTTTGTTGAGTGCGAGGCTTTTGAAAAAAAAAAGAGAATTACATGCTTTTGAGACGCCGATTTAGTCGTGACTCGGTCAGTTTTGCTCTAGAAAATTTCGAGCGTAAAAATGAACTTTTCAGAAAAAAAAGTGTGTTTGTAGATGAAAAATTCGATCCTGGTTGTAACAGTATACGTTTTAAGTTCTCTGAAACCGTCAAAATTACAAAGAAGTGAAGGGAAACATTTTGGATGCGGCGTTTTAAAAAGAGCTCGAATTTTCAAGTGCAAAAAGCTATTTTCCGTCAGTCGCTGAATTGAAATTCGTTGGAACGTGGCTGATTTTTCATCATCACGATAATTTTTCTTTCATCAGATGGTGCAGTGAAAAGTTGTGATATCTTTCGGATTTTCCGTCATGCATGTTTTCTTCGAGCCCCTGTGGAACGGGCTGAAGGAGACAGACAGCAAAATCACCTGTTTGTCATGGATGGGCAAAGTTCCGGAGGAAGTTCCTGATGTGAGTGCATTCCGATCTACTTCCGAATGATGCATTCCTCGATGTCAATCGTACTCATTTGACGTGAAGAGTTCGATAATGCACAAAATAAGGCATTTTTGGCGTTTTTCTGTTGTCGCAAAATGGTTTTCAACGATTTTAATCATTGATTAGTGGCCTGAGGGAACAATCAGAAGAAACTTTTTGATCTGCTTCTGGATGCAATCTCTTTGATCAAGTTGTATTCTCATCCTTTTTTTTGCGATTGTCTTCAGATTTAATTCTGTATGGACTCAGTAGAATCGCAATACAACGAATTTTTTTCAAATACCGTCCATGGTCGATTTTTTTTTTCAAATCCCTCCGTGAATTCCCATAGAAACAATGTTTTAAGAACCTCCCTAATAAGTTTTCTGGAATTTTGGCGTTTATTTTATTGACGCAGGAAAACGAAGAGCAATAAAACTATACTAGATGTCCTTTGAAAAGAAGTGGAAGTTTAATTGGGCAAAGAAAACCTTTCCTCCGAGTTCAGCCTCCTGTCAACTAATTTAAGATGCAATTTAATGCCCTATACTGTACAGTAAAATCTCGTCACAACAAACTTGTGGGGACTTCAGAAAAAGTTTGTTGTAATGAATAATTTGTTATAATGAGATTTTGAAAATTATTGACTGATTGGAAGATTTTCTTCAAATTAGACCTGCATATATTCAACATCTTCCGTTTGTGGCCTTTTCAGATGTTTTTCAATGGTTAAAAACTGATCTTCAAGAAGAAATGTAATAGTTAATAACAAAAAACAGATACTCTGAATAAAAGGTAAATACTAGCACACTTTCTTTACTCCCAAGTTTTTTAAAGCAATTCTTGCAAAGATTTGTGTTCCAAAATTGCTGAAATTGTTTACATTGCTAGGGTTTCTCAAGCATGCAAACCCTTTTCAACATGAGTATTGCTGGGCTCATTTTTTCCATCTTACCAACCCCCCGCCCCCCACCATCATTCCCAACAGAAGAATAATTTATGAAAGAGAGGATTTTCAGGTGAACTTATAAGAATTTTTGTGCTTGATTTCACCTTATGTTGCAAGAACCAGTCGCCAGTCACATTTAAAATGGGAAATGTGAGACTGTGCCTGCCTCCATTAGGGATTTTTCGTTAAGAAATCATAGAATGTTCCTCAAAAAAGTTTGTTACACTGGAATTGGCCAGTTTGTTGTAATAAGATTTTTATAACCTGTACCCCATAGGATTTCCGCCAGGACTTGAAAAAAAAGTTTGTTCTACTGAAAAATTTGTTGTAACGGTATTTGTTGTAACGAGATTTTACTGAATAGAATACAGTATCACCAATTCCTATTTCCTGTGATCCTTCATTCCTTCTCTCTCCAACGCAAATGTTTGTTTTCCCGACTAAAAACCTGTTCAACTCGATGAATTTTTTCTTTTCTTGCTGGTCTCTTGAAGTTGGACTGCTTAATTTTTCATTCATTTTTAATGGAATTCAGAGCGACGAATGGCAGCTGAACCGATTAGACTACTACCGCGAAGGCTGGCTGGCGACGGGCAACGTCCGAGGCACCGTCGGAGTGACGTACACGTCTACGTTCCCCCAAGACCTGGCCCGGTTCCCGCCACGAACCAATTTCAACTTGCGGGGACACCGAGCCGTCATCACGATTGCCCAATGGAACGAGCCGTACCAGAAGCTGGCGACTTGCGACGCTAGTGGCGTCATCTTTGTGTGGATCCGGTACGAGGGCCGTTGGAGCATCGAACTCATCAATGACCGCAACACCCCGGTCATGCATTTCCAGTGGTCGCACGATGGACGCATGGCGCTCATTTGCTACAAGGATGGGTTGGTATTTGGGTGTCCTGTCCCGGATTCCCTTCAAAAAAGTGTTTATACAGTAGCTGCTTTTTGTTGTTGTTGCAGATTTACGAGGATTGATTAATTAAATTTTAGAGTTTTTGAACTAGATTCCAACGGAGTTTCAACAATTCGAAATTTTTTTTAAGAATGGCATAACCCCATCGTTTGGACGCAGTTCACTGCTATTCAACGTATTCCCCAACGATTTCCATGCATTTTTTTCGTGCGATACATCCAACGATCAAAACCGTGCCAAAAAATCGAGTTCGGTTAGTTGATCAGGTACTCTGTGACTATTGGCTGTTCCCGACAGTGAAGAACAATCTGATAGGGATTGATTTCGCGGACATGGAAATCCGCATTTCCGACGTCGAAAAGCAGCATCTTAACCAACTGAAGGAAATCGGTTTTTTGGTACTGTTTTGATCCCTGGGTTCATCGCATAAATCGGTGGAGAGTATGTTGAACAGCACTGAAGTGTTGCCAAATGATGGGGCTATGCGAGTGACACATTTTTTTTTCCAATTCTTCCAACTCTGTTGGGTCTATTTGAAAAAAAGTCTCAAAATTTATGAACCAACCTTCGCAACTGCTCAAAGAAATAAAATATACATTTTACGTAAATTTTCAAATCAATAAGCTCGTGTCGTTCGAATGCTGTTTTGAAATGCCATGAGTTTTTGCGAATATCCGAATTTCCGAAGTGGTTCTGCTGAGATACTGGAAATGATCTTCAAGCTTATCAAATGAACAGTCAGCCTTGCGAGACAAACCATGATTGATTTATTGATTGCATTGAATTTGAATTTTGTTCAAGCAATGAGTAACAAGACACCTCATGTATTGATTCCTCTAAGAAGTAGTCCACGGAAACTTGATAATGTTGAGTTATTTGATGAGCTGATGCACTTTTTTCTCGTGTCCATTCAAACAGCGTTGAAAATATTTTTTTTACATTTTTCCAATTCATAATCCAAGATATATATATATATATATATATATATATATATATATATGTATTTTTTTCTGAAGGTTCGTATTGGTCGGTTCGGTCGCCGGACAGCGTTATTGGTCTTCAATGATGAATCTGGAGTCTGATCTCACTCACGGGCTGTGGACACCCGATGACCAAAACGTCTATCTCGCTACTGCGAGAAATGATCTCCTGGTTCTAGATGTTCATGGTGTTTTGATATCCCGAGGAAAAGTGGCTGGAACGAATGTTGCGAGACCTACTGGTGACGGTGGTGAAGAACCCTCAGGTGAAGGATAAATAAAAAATAAAAACAAAATCCAGCGCGAGTTTGCTGTGTGAACTTCATGGAGGCCATCATTCGTCGGCGATATTCACGAAAGGGGAATTACGCTAATTTTGCCATTTTAGCGGCGACGAATTGGGAGTCGTATTTGAATGTCAGTGAAGGCATACCGCAGATTTAAAAGTGTGGAAAATTTCCCTTTCGTGGTTTTCGCATGACTGCTCCGATGAAGGAAACCGGCAACAAAAATGATCTTTGCAGTGTACATCGGTCCCCGGCTCGGAAAGATACTTTTTGTTGATGCGGTACCTTATTTACCCGAATACCCCGTGTACCTTTTTTTCCACCAGAAATTGAGGTGGAAAAACAGGGTGCGCTTGGTACCCGGGGATAATTTTATTTTTTGGGAAAATTCCCAAAACCCGTGCAAATATCAGTAAATAATTTTTTTATATTGAGAAAAATATGCAGAGAAAAATGTGTGATGCGAAGTCTCCCTCATGTCCATGAAAAATATCGGTTCAAGCAAGAACCATTTTATTAATACAGTATACAGGTGTACTTTGATAATCTCTCTACAACGTTTTTCTGTGTATTACGATATTTTCATAGTCCCGTCCTTCGGTGTAGTGGTTTTTTACAACTGAATTCTCTCCACAACGAATTTTTTTTCTGGTCCCTTGAATTTCGTTGTAGATATATTTATTGCTCGTAGAAAAAATTTTTCCCATAATAAAATTAGTTGGAGATGCAACAGGACAGTTATTCTTGTCCGGCAGACAACAATGAACAGGAAAGACACACTACAAATAATAATAAAAATAATCCACCCATCAGAGAGATTGCACAATGCATGATTTTCATCTAGCAAAAACATGGAATGGGTTGTTTCTCTCTTTTTTTTAAATTTTTCACAAAAAACTAGGGGTGCGGGTCTTACTTGAGGGCGCGTGGTACTCGAGTAAATACGGTTTTGTGCAAATATTGAAGTGCAATAATGAGGAGGAAGTTCAGCACAAAAATTTGGATACCCTGAAAACTTTTTTCGAAAGTAATTTACTGACAAACTTTCACTCATATATGGTGAAATCTCGTTATAACGTAGCCATGGGGACCATTAAATACTAAAAATAGCTTCGTCGTAAAGAAATAAGTTATGAAAAGATTAGCATTGCGGCTATTTGGCAGGGACCTAAGGAAGAAATTCGCTGTAAGCGATTATTCGTTATAATGAGATTCTAACGGGCAGTATTTCAATGAAGGAATCGGAAGTTATTCGTAAAAATGAAGAAAGCGTGTTTTATTTGCAAAAGTGCAATATACAGTACCTAATCATTTTCTTCACCGTTTTTTCTCAAATCAGTGGTTTGGATGGCATTCAATTGTCCAAAGTTCAAAATGGAAGAGATCGAGTCCGAGATTGGCGGTTCGCCGGTTGCCGTGG